CGTACTACGTTTCCATTGCCCTCCGTAACACGAAAAGCGGGGTTTCATTTCCATGCCCGGACGCCGCAATCCCCGCGAAAAATTCGAGCTCCATTTTCGCCAACTTAGGGGAGGTTCCATGTCAGTACTACAACAAAAACTCTCGCCGACAAGAATGCTACGGCATAATTTGTACAGGCAATACTTTAGCAAGACATTACTGCTTCGCGACTAAACCTATACTGAAAAACTTACGCTCATCATTCCTTCTATACCTCACAATTTACATGCATAGCTTCTACACATTACTTCTACCGCAAAACCTTATACGCGACATAAAAACTTACTGTTCAGAACATTTTTTGAAATTCTTCAAAATAACACCCTCAAGTCGTAACTCATGCGCAACAATACTTCTACTGCAAAAAATCATGCACGACATAAACTCTACACGACAAAATGTACTCTTCGCAAATGTATGCCCATTATTACCTCTACTGCAACAATAAAGTAATCACTCATATGCGACTTTACTTCTACTGCAAATACACGTGGCATAAGTGTTACACGACACAACTTATACTTCAAAAAGTTATGCTCATCATTACTTCTACCACAAGACCTTATACAGCCATTGCTCATAAACGTCATGAATTCTTCTGCAAAGCAGGATCATGGCATTAGTAAAAATAAGCAGAACGAATGAAGTGTATGCTTTTGCAAGACATGTTTTGTTGTGCAGTATTCATGTCGTGCGTGGGTTTTTGCAACAGAAGCAATGCCGCGCATCAGTGAAGACTGTATAAGTGAGGACGTGTTTAAGTTTATAGAGCATAAATTTTGTTGCGCAGCACTGATGTCGAGCACAAGTTTTGCAGCAGAGGTAAACTCGCATATAAGTTAAGTCTGTACACATTTTGCAGTAGAAGTAATGCTGCGTACAACCGATATCGGACAGTGTTGAAGAACTTGACGTTTCCTGGTATAATGTATGCCAGGAAATTGTGTACTACAGGATTGTGACCAGGCAAAATGAAATATTGTGTACTCCGTCATGATGCAACAAGAACAGCTTTTGGAAAAACTCATTTTACCTTCTTTTGTCAGGACAAAACAAAACCAGAAGGTGCAAAAGCTTGAGGCTTGCTGCTTCCATCACGAGCCATGTATTGATAACTGCAAGAGCACAAATCTTGCACCCAGCAAAGTAAGATGCCCAAAAGCTGGCAGCCTGCGTTGCCACCTAGGTATATGATAAACCATGTATGGAAATGTGAAAAATAAAGCGTGTGAATGTTGAATGGAGTTGCCTTTGAACAATACCGGTAAACAATAAACGGGTACCAGAATCGCACTGGTCTGTAGATTAGCAAAGCTCTCACTTCCTACGCCCTACGCAGACCAACTCAAACTTAAACATGACTTAACCTGCCATTGAAGACGAACCGCATTAATTGCCAAGAATGCAACGAACATTCATAGAAAACCGCACGCCCAACCATCGACCGCAGACGGTCGCCTACCCACGCGCCACCACTTTGTCATGGCAATGCAGATAAAAGAATCACCCGCAATTCAGCGTCGGAAACGTCTCAACTATTCAGCGGCCTGCGCTCGCCTCCCATACTAGGTTGGAGGTTGAACATAGCAAAACTCTCCAATTTATTTTAATGATTCACCTCCTCGAGACTGATTTGCCAAGAGCATAAATATTTTGCTCGCGCTCATGTCTCGAACAGATTTATAAACACCGGGAGGGAAGCTGCATAGAGATAGACATCACGGTTATGAAGGATTTATCTGTACTCATGCATAACAGTCATGTGTGGTACTTCAGGCTTTACAAAAATTCCCTTTAAGCCGAAAAACGCTGCTATAAATAGCCAAAAAGATGTTCGGAAACAGCCATCTCACTCCGGCAAAAACGCCAGGACACCAGAGTAACATGAACCCCTAACTTTGGCCTGGCAAATTAAGGAAAAGGGTTTATTCGGATAAAAACATCAATTAATTGCGACATAAATTATCCTATTTCGCAATGATATCGGTTAAAGCGCATCAAAATCCATTAATACCTTGCATTATCTGCCGGAGCCAGCGGAGTGACTGGCTCTGGTCCCTTTTGGCCGGCCTGCACGGGTCTGTCAGGCATTGTACTTGCGCTGGCTCGGTAACCCGATTAAGAGTGCTGCTTGTCTCTATTGTTCGGGTGGGACGTGCAGGGCCTCGTGTGCTGACCGGGAGTGGGAAGGTGGAGGGCATGAATGTTTAACTGTTTTTAAAAGCAGTTACCTGGTGGAGCGTGAGTAGCGTGACCGCGGTGGGGCATAAGTAGCGAGATCGTGGTGGAGCATGAATAGGTGGCCGCTTGTGACATGTTCATTTGCATTTTTTTTTGTGTACCGTTCTTGTCTGGCTGTGCGTATCGTACCCACCCTCCATTTCGGAGGGTATATAAGCCCGGTGTGTAGCCACCCTCAATTTTGGAGTGTTTAAGCCCGAAGCGTAACTGCTCTCCGTTTTAGAGCATGTATACACATGTATACACATAAGTTGTAAACCAATAAATTTGCACGTGTTTCATAGTACAGGATACGAGACTGTGCTGTTTCAGCGTGCCATGCTTAATGCTGAAGTTTCCTTTCATTTAAAGTGCTTTTACATGAATTGCTGTATATGAAAAGTGGCGCTTTTGTTGAGTGCCAAAGATAACTTAAATACAGCTGTAATGACCCGCAGCACTTGGGATAATTTTGTACACCACTGTAGAAAATTTGTACTCTACTACTAGGAAAGTTTTTGAAATTCAAAACTGATGTCGGGGCACTTTTGTCGGTACCAGTTTTTGCCGAAGCACTAGAGTCGTGACACCCTTCGGGAAGTACGTTCAGCAGATACACACGGCTCTTATCGGAATCAACGCATCATGAAAAATGATCGCCAGTCATGGCACTTCGCATCGTACGGAGAGCCCTACCGAACCCAATAGTCCGCGCAGTCACCAGGTCGCCAAGTGGCTGGTTCCCAGTGACTCAGCGGAGGGGGGAGGGCTTCATCGACTACACCCAGCCAACCGAGAACAGGTGATGGCAAAAGGTCTTTAGTGTTGTGGGAGACCCTCTGAAAGCCTTTGCTCCTGGTGATGATCAGGTGGGTCGGCGATAATAGCATGACATGATGACAGGTTTTGACTGATAGCCCATCCTACTTGTGTCCCTTTATTTTCTATCCATTTAGGATTTTTGCTCATTTGAAGTTGTATTTGACTTTAACCCTCTTGACTTTTTACCAAATGACCTTTCATTATTGTGATGTTTTGCCTTTTTGCCAATCTAGACTTGACTTTTATCCCACTTGACTTCATCAATTGATTTTTATCATCTGACCTTGTCTTTTTTACTTTTCCCCTTTAACTCACCTTGGCTCCCAGAACTGAGCCCTTTTGAAGTGGGACACTTTTAGAGGTGACTTGCCTCAGGATTCAGGAGTATCTTTCTGCTCAAGGGACAAACCTATGATCCCCTCCAGGACCACAGTACCATGGTTCATTGCTTATCAAGGAGAACCACTTTGGGTGTTGATCTTGTGTTTAGGATCCTTTTGTGTACCACAACATTATGTGAATATTGCAAAATGCACAACATCTACATGCCACCATACAACATATAACTTCTGGATTTAGGCACTCCCATGAGGGGTGTCCAAGTGACACTATTGGCATATGCCTTCCACTTAAGCAATTTTTTACATTGCTTTCCATGCTACCTACATGCATTAAAGGAATGCTGACAGCCAGAAATCAAGCCAAACACAGGAACAAGCTTACTGAAAACACATGAAACTGATATATATCACATTTTCAATTTTACATAGCTGTGGTGCACCAAAACAAGGCTACCAGTAGAGATGTTGGGTTACTCCTTTCTGTTCATTGCAAAACCCTGTAAATGATCATTTTAGGTCACAAACCTTTAAAGGATTCACAATTCCTACCATTTTACTCAATGCACATGCCAGGCTAACTGACAATGCCTTCAACAAATGTCATAACCAACAGTGATATGGCTTGAAACACATGTTATACCAAGCATGTCCTAAGTCATGGGCATTGTTGCAGCATTCAGTGCATATGCAACGTAAGTCTGAGCAATAAAAGTTTGATGCACAGTTATCATCATTTTCAGCTCAAAGAAAACTTTTCTTTTAAGGAATGATAATGTTCTGAAGGTAATAAATTAAAACAAGGTACTAATCCAAAGGTAATTTTGGGCAAACATGTTAAAAAAATCCAGACAAAAGTGATATGAAACTTTGCCACAATTCTATCTGTCTGTGGTTCGGCTTGCATCGACACAAGGTTAAGCCCAATGATGTCACATACTCTTGGCACAGAAAATGGATCCTTTGGCAGACAGGTACTTGAGAGTGTAAAGGCAAATCCCCCCTCCCCCCAATACTTCGCCAAAAAGTATATTTCTATTCATACATGACCTTCTTTCTTTTCAAAGTCAGGGGCTAGAATCCCAACACACAAGAAAACCAAATGTCTGCACCTGTGCCGATCGGCAACGAAAGTCATTCGAAGCTGGGCAGCGGACGAGCCTGACAGCCATTTTGTTCATATTTTTCTGAGGACGTCACTAAGCCAGTCCGCAAACCACGACATCTCTCGTTGAGACCATCCACCACGCCCCTATTCGTATCCCTCATAGCCTCCCAAATATCAAAAGATGTACCGCTGAACCAACTGACAAGCTTCGGATCCTCTACACCTCGAACGCGATCCCCAACCCATCACTGCATGTTTGCGTCACTTTGGCCACAACAGACTCGACCTCGTCTACGAATATTTACGCAGCAATGCCATCGCCATGTAGAAGGCATTGGAACCAGGCACACCAAACCGCATAGAGCCTCGTCTGTGTCACGTGACACTATCGTGTTCAATAGATTGTATCACGTGACTGTTTCGTAGTGGCCGCACGATCCATAGCAATGACCATCCCTGTTCCAAAGTGGACTGATCCAAGGAGAGCGGGGTAGCTTGCGAATGCGTCCCGTGCGAAAATGGCACCCGTGTGGGAGAGGTCGTGGAGTGGTGGTAACTAATATTGTCAGGTTAAATAAGTTGTTACAGGTAAGAGCACTCCTGCGAGGTTAAGCATTCTGGGTATTACTTGTCGTGTCTGGTAACTTGTTTGGAGGCTGGACGCGGGCTAATGTGAAACAAGAAGTTGTAAGGCAACTCCGTTTTACCCATGGATATTATAAGATGATGTCGGTAGGGCAGCGATATTTCTGTGTTGCATCTCTGAGTCATCGGCGTGCATGGTACTCCCAGTCGTCAGCGTGTTCATGACTGAAAGGTAGGAAAGGAAAATAACAGCTAACTAGTGTCATGTTTGTTTTGTAGGTAAGTACAGAGTTGGTACACAATGGAATTTGAGAGGGCACTGTGCTAGGATTGGAGGAAGTTTGCCTGGCATTTGATTTTAGTAGTTATGTTCTGTAATTTTGACATGGTCAATGGAATGGGCATGTCTTATATGTATGAGCTGCAAAAGTGGGTGGGGAGGATGTTGGTATTTACGGACAGCAGGTTATTTATTGCGCACATGGCAGATTGGCATGCCAGCACCAAAGTGCTTCAAGTTTTTGTGTGCTGACAGCAAGTTTTCAAGGTGTGCCAAATTTTTGGTGAGACTGTCCTGGGGCATGGTGAGACATAAGCTTAACCTCATTTAGGAGAGGTTTTACTGGTGTCTGGCCAGCAATTCCTTAATGGGGGGGGACCTCACATTGTTTTCAGCATATATTGTACATTTTGTGGGTGGTGCTGAGTTCTCACAGAAATTGGGCACAATTTGAGAGTGCTGTGTTGTGGGAAGCCAGTGGTAATGTGTATGGTGGGGTGAGTTAAATGCAAAGTCAGCCAAAAGTTTAAATGTGCCACACTTGTCTTCAATATTTGATAAGGTCCTTAATTGATATTATTGTTAACTACTATTTGTAGTTATATTGTTTGGTCCTATGTGCCATTGTGCATGCAACTCACGTGCTGAAATCTGTGAACTATATTTGTTTTTGTGCACAAAATGTTTGCAAGCAGGTGCATTTTCATGTGTTGAGCAGCCTAACCAGTTTTGAACAGCTGTATACCATTTAGGCCTGGAGTGGAGACCCTGATGCTGTGGACAGGTCATTCATTGTATATAGATTATTGATACATTTGGAGCATATTGTAAATTTGGTATTGTAGTGACTAGATGAAGTAGTGGAGTCATTTTGGTGTGAATTGGACCCTCCTTGGACATGACAGGCATGCATAGTGGGAAGCTGCAAGGTAGATCGACAGGTAAATCTTTCACCTGTCTTCTCCATAGTCATTTTCCCTCACGCTGAGCAGGGAGGCTGGTTGCACCATTTGGGGTATGACTTGACCTGCTTGAGTGGCTTGTCAACTGGTCTGCACCCCTTTTGCAGACTACTTGGTTAGCATATTGCCTGACATTTTTTTCCATTATAGTGAATGATTATGGACCATGTGCTGGGTTGTAGTTTCTGATTCAGTCGGGGACTCTTGCTCTCAAAATTTGTTTTGTTGTATGTTTTATGTGGGCTTAAGCACTCCCAAGTTTGGCTCCAGCACCAAAGTGATAGAAGGTTGCCCAGATCTTGGGAAAAATATGTTTGTTAGTATACTTTGGGGTTAGGTTGTGTCATTGTCACTGTGTAGTGCCTGCTTCTACTTGTTTTGAAAACTGCTCCTGGCTAGATGCTCCTGTTTCAAGCCAAGTTATGTGCAATCTTTAGAGAAATGAGCAAGCTGGCATAGGGTAGTTTTGTGCTCAGTTAACACTATTGCTTTTATGTCAGAAGTAATAAGTAGTAACTAACTAGTAAACTAACTTAACTAGTAATGAACTTTTCAAAGCAGAAGGCTGCAGAGTTTTGATGTGAATTGTATGCCTTTGGTGAGTGATGATATGATTCAGTGTCATATAGCATAAATATACAATCTATAACCACAATGACAGCAATGAGAAAAATGGTAAATGGTAATTTGTAAAAAAATATGGCAAAGTTATCTTACCTGATTTTCTCCAAGCCAAGCATGCTAGTGCAACAGAGCACATCTTAATAAAAAACTAGAGTGGATTTATCAAGCATATGACACAAACTTTTCTTGTTGCGGCAATCCCGGAATGCACAAGATAGCTGCAAAATACACAAAAGAACAAAGCATTCAGTGGTGGGCGTGAGACAGTTTCTGATCTGTTATTCAGACATCACACATTGTATTTGGAATGCTTGTCATGTTTATAAGTCTGAAGGCCAAGGTCAGGATGCCCCACTTTCAGTGTCCAACATATTTTTGACAAGCACAGGTAGTGGGTACTTTCTACTTAAATAATGTGGGCTCCAGTTATGGTCCAAAAGGAGGCCAAAGCTCTTTCCATGGAGTCTAAACTCATCTCTATTTAAGTATGAGGTCTTCTGATCCTGTAGCCTTCTTGGTATATCTTTCCTGAACTGATGCAAGGAGATATATCCTCATGATCTCTAGTGTTCCAGCAGCATTCCAAAATTCATCCAGAATGGGGTGGAGTAGGGGATATCATTTTGTACTACCAGAATTGAGGCTCTCATGCTGCTTCTGTGTGCACAGTTTATTGACTGTGTGTTTCCCCTGTCTCTCCCAGCCCTGACCTCAGACCCACCCAGCCAATTTTCCAAGGCTGAGGTGTCTGGATTCTGGGTTGACCACAGCCAGGTTCTATGCTGATTGGCTGATTTTGGTCAAGGTGAGAACATGATCAACATGCACACCCCTTGCACCCCAGTGACTAAAGGTTGAAGAAAGGTAGACACAAGAGCATGTAACTTGGCTTTTGATTTCAAGCTACAGCCCTTGTTTCATCCCATGTCTGAGTGCACAACACTAATACTATGCTAGACACAGGATATTGCAAGAATGATAATGAGCCTCTGTGCTGCCATCTGTTCCTGATTGGTTCACACTGTTCATGCCTCATAGCTGTTGCCTTGTCTCCCTATATGACAACCTAATATATTCATGATGTGGTGGGTTGTGGAGAGGCATGCTTAGTTTCAAATTGAAATTTATGTGATATGATTTTAATGCATGAAAGTTAAGTGCATGTTTAATTTCATGCTAAATTATTTGTGCTGCTTTGATTATTCATTACAGAAGAGCATTAATTCAATGTTGATGTATCTTTAATAGCAGTTTCAACAGCTGACTGAAACAGTCTGCCATAGCCAGGTTTTGCAAATTGAAACTTGCTGGCCATAGGTACTGATTGCAAAAACTGGCAGGAACTCAAGTGCTGCAGAACATATAAGTTTATTGGGCAAAGTGGAGTAGGAACTTAAATGGCATATAAATATTATTGGTGTTTGATGCATTGAGCATTGATGAGCTATGGTCAGAATGGGGACTGGCTGGCAAAAATTATTAGGAAGGTGCAAAGAAGTTATTTGGAAGATGGTAGTTTACATGAGTCAGGCTGTATAAATCATCCCCATTCATCCTTGTAACATAATCTTGGAAGCAGGGGTGGAGCTCACAGTTACCATTCACTGATTACAGGCCAGGTGGGACAAAGTGAGCTGGCAGAATTATTAGCACCGAAGCATGCAAAACTTAGCTTGCTTTTCACTACTGAATGGCAGTAATCTTTGCTATGCAGAGATTATTACATGCTAGCCAGTTGATCATTTACATGTTTTCAGTCATATTACACATGGGTGGGCCAGATAGGACCTGATCAAACTAAACAGAACTGTGCAGTACTGACAGGATGGGAAGGAGCTGGCATGGTTGGGCAGAACTGGATGTGAAGATGGATGTTGGTTGGTATATTCTGAGAGCAGGTCTTGTCATGCTTAACTGCTGACCACCTTCCATTCCACTATGTGAAACAAGCTGTTCTTACTCTTAGCTCCACTTGACCAGCATAACAAGCACACAGTTATTTGCACATCTGAATCAGTACTTACCTTGGCTCAGAGTTCAGGAACACCAAGCTAATATGAGGATCTGCATGTGGAAAGTTTACTGTTGATTGTTGACAGGTAATTGTGTTTGTGGCAGGCAGATTGTGGACTAAATTGGGGGTCAATGCCCATGTTTTCCAAGTTGAGTTTGGAAAAGATACCTTTGTAAGTCTGAAAGACTTCTGAGGGGAATATAATGAACATGTTATAAGGTTGCATCTGGTTCATTTTTTACCCATAATGAAAAGCATGGACCAGTTCCAATTTGGCAGTGTTCCAATTTAGCATTGGCCAAATAGATAATTTAGTTGTAGTTTTTTTAGTTAAGTTGAATAGTTTTTTGTGCAATCACAACACCTTATTTCATCTGTTATGTTTTCTGATTCCATATGTTTCATATGTATCGCGCGCGGTGCGGTGCTGCCGGTCGGCGTATGATGGTGTGATACTAGACTCGTGTCACCACTAGAGTGGAAATAGGTTCGCTGTTGTGTCATCACTATGCGCTCTGTTTTCGTGTAGAATGGTACGGACCCGGCCGCACGAACCGAGTTGGACGAGTCCAATGTGGTTGTAGCCTCACTGAGGGGGAGGACACGTAAACAAAGCGCTCTGGTGTGGGCGGTCCGCTTTGGGGTTGGGTATGCCCACCGCCAGTTTTGACATGTGGGAGCAACGGAGGGGGGTGGGGGATGGATTGGCCTGCACATGAAAGTTAATGCGATGGACTAGGAGTGATGGATGGTGTATGAGGACCGTGGACTGCACAGTAATGAACCGAGCAAGTGGGTTTTGGTGGCTATTTGGTGGCATGCGGCAGACATATGGTTCGGCCACGGGCTGTCTTTGGTGTGACAGCGTGTTCTGAGGTATAAGGAAAACTCAACATGTGCAGTGCCCGGGTTCACCAGTGAAGGGCTGTTTTGACTCAAGGGAGATGCACGGCCTTTTGTCCGCGGACAAGCGTGCGCTGTTGGTGGTAACTGGGCTGTCCGTACATGATCCAGGGCTATGCGAAATGAACACAATAACTGATTCACTGTGGTGCGCAGGCGGGCGCGCGAGCGCGGTAGCGTCGGCGGCTCGGCTGTGCCGGCACCCCGCGCGGGCGGTGTGGGTCCGCCGATGTCACACCGCTACCCGCCACCGACCGGCGGGCGCCGGCACTGTCACGCGCCGCCGCCGACCGGCCAGGCCGGGCCGGCCGCGCGGGTGATGCTGCCCGCGGCGGCCGGGCTCGTCCGGCCCGCGTGCACGAACACGCGAGCGAATGAGCCGCCGTCAGACGGCGTCTCGACGTTTGGTCGGTGGCGGCTTCTAACGAGCGCTGCTCCCCTGGCCGGCAGATGTCCGTGCCGAAGCTGGCTGCGATGTTCCGGTCCCACCGCACGTGCAGCCTGCTCGAGTCGGACGACCGTGCACTACCGCAGAAGTGATATGAGCGCTGGACTATGGAGTACTGGAGCGGATGGTCGGGCGCGGCTGGCGGCGGCGCCGGCGGCAGGCCGCCGAGCCGCGTCCCTCGCTCCTCCATCACACACAGCAGATGCACGCGTACGCCAGCGTCAGGTGAGTGGCACGGCTTACGCGCCCGCTGGCTGACCCGTCGGGGAATGCCTGGCGTGGCTGAAGGTGTGGCTGCGCCTGTCACAGAGGCTCGCTGGCCCGGCTGGCGCGGAGGCGAGCCATCGCTAGCCTGACTCGAATCGGACAGGTGTGAGGGCGCCGCGGGTGGATGCAGAATCGGACGGGTGTGTGCGTGCCGCAGATGAATGCGGATTGGGACGGGTGTTTGGACGCCGTGGACGGATGTGAGCGGTGGGACGACAGGAACCTGATGCACGTCTTGGCGGAGATCTGATGTGTTGTTTGCTTGTTCGGTCAATGCATGTCTCGTAAAAGTGTCTGATCAGCTGGCTTAAACTAGTAGCATCGCCTATGATAGCGAACAGGTGAAACGGGGGGTATCGGTATTGTGCACCATCTGGTTGAGAGTAGCTCAGTTTTTGGTTGCAAACCCACCATTGGGTGTGGACGAGTGTGAAGGCTGATTTTCCATCAGCCCAAGTATGTACTGTGGGTGGCCCCGCCGCCTGAAGGGGAATCAAGATATGATGTTTGCGTAGTGTGTCACTGGGGTGAAAGTGACGACTGGGGACCTTCGTCGGGGAGCAGTGGCTGAGTCATGCAAAGCGGGATCGAGTTGGGGCTGGCGTTGGCCGCAAGCCACAGCCGTTAGCTACTGGGAAACGGCCAGCCAGCATCAGCCACTGAGACTGGCGTTTCTCTTGTTAAGGCGTAGTGGCGTGGCATTCCCACTGCCGGCTAGATGAAAAGTGCATTGTGTTTATCTCCGTGTGAATGGTTTGATTGTTCAGCTGTCACTGCGCACGACTTTGTGCCGTGACGGAGGTACGTGCGCGACAGGTCTGTGTCCAGCTCGGGGCGGGAGCGTGCGGCGCAGGCGGCCGGCTTCCCCGCCCCCTACCAACACGTGCTGCAGGACCACAACTACGGCGCGCCGCCGCCCCGCTCGCCCGAGCCGCTGGAGCCTCCACCGCCACCGCCGCCGCCTCTGCAGCCTCCGCCCATGCCCACGGGCGTCGTGGCCTCGGCCGTGCCGGCGGCGGCCGCCGCTGCTCCGCTGTCGGCGCCCCCGCCGCCTGCGCCAGCGCTGTCGCCGCCGCCGCCACCGTCGCCGCCGGCATCGCCGCCGCCGCCGCTATCGACGCCACCGCCGCCGTCGCTGCCGCCGCCTGCCGCGCTGGTGGCGTCGTTCGTGGCCGCCGGCACCGTGGACGACATGGGCCTAGTGTCAGCGGTACCGGCGGCCGGGGCCGAGCCGGACGACGGCGAGGAGACGGAAACGGCTCCCGAGTCAGAGACGGTGGACGACTCAGTCACGCGCTGCATCTGGTGAGTAGGGCAGCGCCTCAGTCACGCTGTGACAGTTGCTGCTGCTCGTCGACGATCAGGCGTTGTGAGATGGGAAGTGACTTGGTATGTGGTGTCGGGGAATAGTGGTCATGGCGCGGTGTTGACTGTGCTGGCAGTCGAGCATGGGTCAAGATCGTTCAGCATGTGAATGTCTGTCGCAGTCTGGGAGGTTGTGATCACTGGTATTTGTCGAGACGACGCGGGCTGGTTGACTTCCGTTTCCGGCCGGCAGCGACTTTGAACATGACGACGGCTACATGATTTGCTGCGACCGCTGCTCGGTGTGGCAGCACGTGGACTGCGTGGGCCTGGACCGCACCTCCATCCCGGACGAGTACCTGTGCGAGCAGTGTCAGCCGCGCCGGCTGGACCGGCGGCGCGCCCGCTCGCTCCAGCTGCGCCGCCGCCAGAAACTGCTGACCGACTCGGACGACTCGCCGGACTCTGGCGGGGAGCCGACGGCGGCCGGCCGCCCGGCCGGCGGACCCCGCGTCCGCCGACCCGTCAAACGGAGACAGTCGCGCTTGGCGCCGGCCGCCGGCCAGAAGGCCGCGAGGCGCCGGCCGCCGCGGGCGCAGCCGTCGCCTCTGCAGCAGCCGCAGCCGCAGGCGCAGCCCGAGCGGACGGGCCAGCCGCAGCAGCAGCCGGCCGAGCGCAGCAGGCTCTCCGTCAAGAAGGTGAGGTCTACCACTGGGAGCTTACTGGCAGGGTAATCGGTGCTGAGGGAACACCCATTCACTTGTTAAGGTAAAGGGCAGAACTGGGAGCCAATCAGCAAATCAGCTGCAAGTTGTGAGGACAGGTTGGCTGAATTGTAGAGCGCTGCGATGTTGATGCCCAGTACCACGAAATATGGACGCCGGTGTAAGCACTCAGTTTTGGTTTTGGTTGCAGTGCAAGCCTGAGTGAGCAAAGAAGCTGCTACGGACTGCTGGCAACAAATGTGTAATGAGTAACACTTGTGCAGGAACTGTAATATTTTTTTTTGCGGTGACGTTTGTTGTGAATGCCCTGTTTATTCTCCAATGCACGCCGGGCCATTGGCTGTCCGTGCAATGCGACTATCTCGGCTGATATCCGTGTCGGACGTTGTGCGGCAGCGGCGCCTACCGAGGAGCAGTGGGCGCACTCGCCCGGTCAGCGACGCCGGCGCCGAGGGCTGGTCGCTCGAGCAGCCGGCCCGCAAGCTGCGCTGCTGGATCGACGAGTACGAGGACGCCGTCACCAACCACTACTCGGCCGAACTGCGTGTCCGGCTGGCCTCGATGCGGACGGGCGCCGTGCCGCCGCCGCCGGCCGGGCCCCAGCGCTGCGCCGTCGCCACGGTGGGCCCCGACGAGCGGGGCCTGGTGGCCGCCCTGCCCTTGCTGGCCAACACCACGCTGGTGGAGTTCCGAGGCCGCTGCCTGCTGCATGCCGAGTACCGGCAGCAGTTTCCGCTACAGAGCAAGCGCTACCAGCCGCACGTGCTCCACTACCGGTTCCCGCGTGACGCGCTGCACGTCTGCATCGACGCGCGCCAGTACGGCAACGTGGCGCGCTTCGTGCGCCGGTCTTGCCGGCCGAACGCGCAGATCCGGCACGTGGTGGACCGGGGCGCGCTGCACCTGCACGTGGTGGCCGTGAGCGCGGTGTCGCGCGGCTCCGAGATCACGATCGCGCACGACCAGCCGGGCAGCCGGCAGCTGGTGTGTGCGTGCGGCCGCACCGACGGCTGCCCGGTGGCCGCCTGCCAGCCCACCAACGGCACTATCAGGTGAGAGTTGGCCCGCGCCGCTGCCAGTGGTCGGGGCCTGGTTCAGCGGTCGGCATCGGAATTTAATCGTGCTGAGTTCATGTGTAGGAAGTAAATCCTGGACACTGAAGGCAACTGGAAGCTGTCAAATTTTGTTTCAGATGTTCCATATTTGGGGCACAGATCACAGCAGGCATCTCAAAGCAGATTGTCCGTCTTGATAGCTATTTGTTGGTTAGGGCGCCTGCCATCTGATAACCGCGAATGTGGCGTTCGATCCGCGCACTGCGGGCTTAGCAAGAATGTGGAATAGGCGTGTGTTGGCGGATGCAGACGGTTGCGGTTGTGTTGTGGCTCGGGACATTCACGAAGCCGGGACGCATCCCTGTTGTTTTTACGACTCAGTGGTGGGGTGCAGCTGTTTTGCCAGTCGGGGTCCGCTGTGCAGTATAGTTTAATTTTGCGACCGAAGTCGGGTAGTGCTTGGATATTAGTCATCAAACACGGCAAATCATGTGGACAGCTTTGCCCTGGCACTCACACCTGCAGAAAACGTATCGTGCAGCGTTGTGGAAAAATGTCTGCTCGGAAACTAGAGACATTGTGGTGTTAAACAACATTCACTCACCTCTCCCCAGTCCCCAGAGGCTAAACCAGTCCCCCCCCCCCCCCCACAGATGTTTGCAAACAAAACCGTGAGGATTGATCACACAAGGTGCTCCCTCCTTCTCCTGTCAGGGTTAAGGTCAAGTTGTTGGAGCCCTCCAATGATATTTCCGCTATACTGGGACCAAAGCCAAATATTCTACTTGACCGATGTAAAGGCTGGAGCAGGTGGGAGGAAGTTCTCACGAGGATCGTTTGGCTTGCACACGAGACTGGGTGGAGTATTCTGTACGGCAGGCAATACAAACAGTGGTTATATGTATGTATATATATATATATATATATATATATATATATATATATATATGTATATATAATGTACTGAAATGGTGAAAACAGAAAGTGCTGCAGATTTCCAATCACGGGCCCATGAATGGTGGCCTTAGCAGCCAATCGAAGTAAGCGCGTGCCCGAAGTTACGAAACAAGAGTGATGTTCTCTGCCTTAGGCCGCGAGTCTCTGCAACCTTAAACTTGGGACAGCGGCTGGTGTAATGTGTTCTTCGGCTGGACGGCGGCTTAAAACTGAAGTGAAGTGGATGTTGATTGGCAGCGGGTTTCCCTTTGCGCTTATCCCAATATCATGTGTCACCAGATGGTGTATCTCAGGATGCGAGCATTGGATCCATTGCCATACTAATTGATGGATCGTCGTCTCGTGTGGTGGGGTTCTCCGTCACTTAGTATTGCCACTGGCTGGAAGTCCAGGGTAGTGGTAAGCCATTTTCATTTTCTGCTTCGAAGCCAGGGTTCTCCATTTTGGTAATCACGTGATTGTGCAGAACTTGTTCTCAGCTCACAAACGCCGCCACTGGCCCGCGGTGTAACCGCAAAGCCTTTCGGAGTGTGCTTTCCCCTTCAGCGCCGTGCTGTTGTGATGGTCTCCGCTGTCGCGCTGCGCGCCGCCTCTGCTGTGGCGCTCTGGCACTGAGCCGGCCGACGCTGCCGTGTTCGCAGCAACGGCAAGACGACTGGCCCGGCCCGGCGGCGGCGACGGCGCAGCTCCGCCCGGCCGCCCACGCCGTCGCCTTCCGCGCCCTCCGGAGACGAGTCGAGCGAGGAGGGCCGCGACGCGCCGCCGGCGCCGCTGCCGCCGCCCTCACCGCCGCCGCCGCCGCCGCCACCACCGGTTTCGCAGCAGCCCACGCCGCGCAAGAAGTCCCCGCACCGCTCGCCGGCCAAGGCGGCCGAGCCGCGGCCGATGTCCATGTCGCCGGGAGAGACGGCGCCCGCCGCCGCCGGCTCGCCCGCCACCAAGGACGAGCCCAAGAAACTGGTGAGTGGCGCCGTTACGAGGCTGACGGGGTTGACCTCAGGGCGGTGTTGGGGTTATCTGGCACATGTGGGCACCGGATGGCCTCCCGCTGGTGGCAGTAGCGAATGTAGAGAGCCGTTCGCTTGATGGAGGATCTGCTCTTGGCTGTGTCGGTCAGTTGTGCTGCCGTCAGCTGGTGGCGCTGGGGTTGGTGCGCTGGAGTCGGCACTGGCCCGGGCGTTGGACGTGTGTGGTCGGGTGTGTGTGCGCTCCAACACCGGCCCGTGCCTGTCAGACGCGCGAAGAGCGCAAGATCGAGGCCATCATGAAGGCGTTCGAGCGCATGGAGAAGAAGCAGCAGAGGCAGCAGCAGGCGGCCGCCACCGGTGACTCGCCCCGCAAAGCCAGCAAACAGTCGCGCGATGACTCGTCACGGAACAACTCTGCCGAGGAGCTGGCCAGCGCCGCCGACAGGAACGCCCGCAAGAGGGGGTGAGTGGGACGGCCCGACAGCAGTGGTGGGAACGAAGAACGGAAATAGTGGCGCGACTTGAGCGTACATCATGCCAGTCGATGCCTTTTAGATGGAGCGGGTTCGGACATGTGCTGCTACCGAACATCATAGCGTTTGCATGCCGGGCTCACCAGGACACCATGTTGTAGTCTTCAGTAGTGCCGGTGACATGGGCTGTTGGATGGTGGCGTATGGTGCCTGTGTGCTGCCCGTGGCGTGTGTGTCGGCGCCAGGGCCGGTGGTGGCATGCGGCGCCACCCGGCCCGCCTGTGACGGCAGTGCGGCAGCCGCCAACCGCGCTCTGTGCTGACTCGGCCGGCCGTTCCAGCCGCAAAGGCAGCCGCGCTCGCCTGCTGTCGTCGCCGCGGCGCCAGTCGGCCGCCGACTCGGCCGGCTCGGAGGCGCTCTCCGGCGACGAGGCGCCGCCGCCACTGCCGCCGCCGCCGCCGCCTCCGCCGCCCGCCTCGGCGCCCTGCTCCATGGCCGGGCCGCCGCTCTCGGCGCCGCTCAGCGCACCCGTCTCCGGGCTCAACGCGCACGGCTTCCGCTTCCCAAAGACGAAAAAGGTACCTGTGTGCAGGGCGTTGGCCGGGCCCGGGTGTTTGTTCGGTACGGACGAGGGTCGACTGAGCTGGCTGACAGGAGGGCGCGGGGCTGGTCAGGATGGCATACGCCAGCGGGGATGTCACCACAGCCGGTCACGGTGTGAATCCGAACGCAACAGAATTGCTTGACGGCGTGCTTTTGTCTCGTACATGTCTGGGACTATGGCGTGTTTTAGCTCGTTGCCTCGTGTTTGGGGCTTGGTATTTGACTGGCATGCTTTCCACGCAGTAAGTCCCCGCCATATACTGACCCTGACCTGTGTCCGGCCGCTTCCGCCAGATGCTGATGACCGAGTGGCTGAACGAGACGGTGGTGACGGTAGTGCGGCACGTGTCGGACGGCGGCGACCCGTGCGAGCTGCCGTCCATGTACACGCGCGGCGCACGCTCGCCGCCCGTGCAGCGGCGCGCCAGCCTGAGCGTGGGCCCGGCGCCGGCCGCCGCCAGTCCGCCGGCCGCTCAGCTGGGCGGCTCGGCCAAGAAGCGGTGGCTGCGCCAGGCCATCAGCGAGGAGGGCGAGCCCGAGCAGCTGAACGGCAACTGCGCCAGCCCCGTCAGCCGGCCAGGTGACTGCGCCGCCGGGACCTGACCCGGCTGACGCTGATGGCACACGCCGGCTCCGCGGCGCACAGATCAGCGGAGATCCACGCCTGTTCTAAAGACGCGACGCAGAGAGACTAGGGATGCGATTGTGTCCAAAATGTCCGCATGTAGTCTGGCCCACCCGAGCCTGGTAGGGTCTGGCCCGCACAAACCGGCTGTGCCACCATGCCGACTCGGCGCTAACTGGCGGATATGAAGTTTGTACAGTTTTCATTTTGCATTTTTCTTAATTTTAGACCTATACAGGAGACGTGCATGGAACAACGCGTCAGGGCGTCTAATGCACAATATTACTTCATGCCAGTGATGCTGCTTGGAGAGCAGCGATATGGCACTCGGACTATGCAAGTTGTAAAGTACTAAACTACACCTTGAATGGTGGTACCAGTTTCCAAGTATGAATGAGAAGGAAAAAGGCGTTAATTAAGACGTCTTCCCGTCAAAATGTACCACCCAGTTCACCCTTGTTCTTGTGTTAACAATAGGGTAGGTCTGCTATGATTGCCTGCATCAGCTGATGACATTGCACTGACAAAGAGTAACAGACTGCTGGATGTTCAAATCGGGGACGTCGCCTCATTGTATAACCCTGTACACGAGCATAAGTTATATACAGTTCTGGGGGATTGGAGACATTTGGTACGCGTACAACCCTGTACACAACCACAAGTTATATACAGTTCTAGGAAAGTGGAGGCATTTGTTACGCGTTTAACCCTGTACAAGGGCGCAAGTTATATACCGTTCCAAGAAAGTGAAGACATTGGTTACGCGACAGCGCCCTTAAGGCCGAAATTCTGACCCTTGTATGGTGTTTGCTCCCCGTGGGTAGATTTATCATGCAACAATATGACATGATAATACAAATACAAATAAATTACCGCACGACAGCTTCCCACTCTTGCCACTATCCATGCCTGCTGGGGCTTTTTGCGAAAAAAAATAGGATATGAATTTGCCATAATGGTGTTGTGTTTGGCAGTGCACTTTATTTTTGAAATTTTCTAGGAATTATGTGCGGGAAAAATAACTTGCTCGTTGATCTACCGGTCTGCATTTCGAAAATTGTCAACCCACAAAAGCCATCCGTGTCTGGCCCACCACCCCGGGCGAAAGTCACGGGTTCTTGCCGGGTCAGATTGGATTGTGCGTCCCGACAGCTCACTTCGTTAGAGTTCCTTTCTTCCGATCCACCCACCCGTGGCAGGGTGGGTTCGAGTCCAGGTGCTCGCTATTTGGGCTTGACAGGTGCGGCCTGCGGCCGGCGGCGGCGGCCGTGCTGGAGGTCAAGTGGCGTCAGAGGGCAGGACGGACCGCGCCGAGTATTATGCCGCGTTAAAATATTTGCCGCCAAATTTTGCCGCTGACCTGGAATTGTGCGATCGGATGGTAGGGGTCATGGCTCACACAACGAGCACTGCTTGGCGTGAGTTCTGCTCCCGGCGGTCCATCCATTTAAAAGGTTGGAAATTTTTGCTTCTATGTTTATAACTGGTGGCAGGGTGGGAAAAAAAGTTGTGCCTGTTATTCAGACTCCTGTTTCGAATTATGTTCTTGAGCCCAGGCTTCAGTTCCTCAGCTGCTGATACCGGTTGTAAAGAACCCGCCCATAACTGGCATCTTTTAATAAGTGACAGCAAATGTACTCAATGTACTATATCTGGCTTCGGTGGGATGTTAGAACAATGCTTTAATCATATTTTGGGCAAGAAAAAAACTGCCTCCTGTTGAAATCATGCCAGCCAGTGGTTTTCATGAACTCCATTTTTTGGTTTTGATTCATGAATTTCAATTTCATGAACATGTAGCCTGTCATTAAAGCAGATTAAATTACACCTAAGAAAAGAACGCCGATATGTCCTATTCTGTCCGTGACTCGGAGTTGAGTACAGTCTGCGTTTCTGTCTTTGAGTCTGAGTCGAGTACAAAGTCCGGACCCGTGTGTAGCGGCCGCGGTCTCACTGACGACCTGCTAAATATGTCACTGTTGTACGGCCAGTGAAACTCGTCGATGGTTTAGATGACATGTGGAGGGCAGCCGACCTGCTACACATGTCGCTGTTGTGCGGTCAGTGACACTCGTCGATGGTTTAGATGACATGTGGAGGGCAGCCGACCTGCTATACATGTCACTGTCGTGCGGTCAGTGATACTCGTCGATGGTTTAGATGGCGTGTGGAGGGCGGCTTCAATGTTTTTTTAAGGGCAAAAAGTGCGCACAGTAACAACAGCTTGCAGACCTGTGTCTTTTATCGCGTCTATACTCGGCTAGTCATCGACTGTCGACTGTGCGGACGAAGCTGTTGCGCCATCTAACACAGATTGCTCGTGTGCTCCTCAGAGTCGCCGGGCGCGACTGACTACTTCACGCCGCTCAAGAAGCGCCGTCTGGCGCGCAGCTCGGTCTCCAGCGAGCTGACGTGGACGCCGCCGCCGGAGTCGGGCTGCGAGCCGCCGGCTCTGCGCCAGTCCCCGCTGGCGGCGGCGCCCGCCGACGGTCGCGCCGGCCCGCTGCCGGACGACGGCGGCACCCCGCCGCCGGCGTCGGCACCCACTCCAAGCGAGTGGACGCTGGCTGCCGGCGTGCCGCCAGGACGGACGGGCGGCGCGGCGCCGGCCGCCGTCGGCTCGCCGTGCCGCTGGGAGGGTGAGCCGTCGCCAATCACCAGCGAGCAGCGAGAGTCGCCGCTGAAGACTGAGGTCATTGTGGCGACGCCGATGCCGCCGCACTCACCGCCGAGGGTGGAGTCGATGCCGCCGCACTCGCCATTGAAGATGGAGCCGATGCCGCCGCGCTCACTACTGAAGATGGAGCCGATGCCGCCGCGCTCGCCACTGAAGATGGAGCCGATGCCGCCGCACTCGCCACTGAAGATGGAGCCGGTACCGCTGCGTTCGCCCCTGAAAATGGAGAGCCAGGTGTCTGCAATGAACCTGGATGTCCGTCGCCCCCCACTGAAACTGGATGTCCGGCCGTCGCCGCTGAAGTTGGGCCTGAACACGCTGCCGACGAAGGTGGACTGGGAGGCGGCTCGTGCGGCGGTGAAGATGGCGGCGTCGCTGGACAGTGAGCGGGCGACCGGTTCGCCCATCAAGGCGGAGGCCGGCGTGCCGCTGCTGGACCCGCCCCCCGGAGCGGATCAGACCGAGGCGCAGCCCGGCTCGAGAAGCCCGCGCCGCCCGGCCGCTACCGCGCCAGCGCCGCTGGTTAAGGAGGACCTCGCCGCCCAGTGGCCCAATCCGAGTATCGTAACGCTTGCATCGCCCACCAAGACGGAACAGCTGTGGCTGGTGCCAGAGAGTGGTGGTACGGGTTCAGTTGCATCCCCTGGTAAAGTGAATCCAAGCCCCCCACTGCCGTATGTTTGTTTCAGTTCGGGGACGTCGCCCGCTAAACTGGACCCTCGCGCGCTACTGCCGTCACACTTTTCAGCGAAAGCGGGGCCTGATCCGCTGGCGCCTGGTACACAGGCCTCCGCCGCTGGACTGGATCTGTGTGCGCCACCGCCGGACGCTGGCGTCAGTGCACTGATGTCGCGCAGGTAAGCTGGAGCCCCTCTCGCTGCCGCCGCCGAATGTTGCCGCCCCGTGCGCGTCGCCCGCCAAACTGGGCCCGCGCGTGGTGCAGCAGCCCAGCGTCGCTGTCGATTCGATGTCGTCTCCAGCTAAGCCGGAGCTGTGTCCGGTCGGGCCGGGTGCTGGCGTTCCGTCGGCGGCGTCGCCCGCCAGGATAGACTGCGGTGCGCCGCGGTCAGCGGGCATCGGCTCGTCGGAGAAGCCGGAGCCGGCGGCCGCTGCCGGCCCCGCCACCAAGCCGGGGCCGGCGCGGCCGCCTGCTGTCGTCAAGCGGCGGCTGAGCCTGCAGGACTACCGGCGCCGCAAGAAGGACGGGCCGACGCCGGCGGCAGCCGTCGGTGATCGGGCCGGGCCGTCACGGCCGACCGAGGACGGGCCGACGCCGCCGGCGCTGCCGGCGCTGGACCTGGCGTCGGCTGAGCCCAGTCCGCGGCCGACGTCGCCGGCCGACGCCGATGCCGACGAGAACGCCGACGTCGGCGTCGACTCCGGTGAGTAGACGTCCGGTGGGGACGGCGTCTGGTGGGGCGATGGAGCGAAGGGGTACTCGTGTCACTGGCGCGATGGCGGTCTGCTGCTGCTAATTTGGTGGACTCCTGATGGCTCCTCCACGCTTAAGAGTTGAGCTGAGCTGCTTCATATCTCGATGTACTGTTTGTGTGCTGGTATGTCGTGCTGCAGGTGACTGGGGTTGAGACAATCCACGCATAGGTAGTGTCACCTCTGGCCATTATGGGTGCAAGGCCATACAGAAGACAATTGTTTTTTTTTTTATTTCGCTTTGCAGTGGGGAAATATTTCATCCTAAAATTGTTTCACTTACTCGACTGATGGCAATATTCCGTCAACAGTCGTGCTAAATATTGAACAGGAGAGGGTAATTTGCGTGCTGAACTTCGCGTTATCCCTTCATTACAGTAATCAGCATGGTTATGAGTATTCGGTCCCACTGTTCTGCTTGGCCTTTGTTGGCTCCGCGCCTGTTAGTTTTGTCATCAACCAACAATGAAACCTTGCCCTCTCCTTGACGCGGTGTTGGATGTCACCCCTCCCCCCCCCCCCCCATTAAGGGTTTTGAGGATACCTCTGGTATGTTGCGCTATCGCACCCTTTCTTAGTTTGGAAACGACGGGGGTCACATCGATTCCCCCCCCCCCCCCCGCATCAGGCCGCGTCACGAAAAACTCTGAATAGGGTTGAGTGTTAAGTACTCTTCCACTTAGTGGGATGAATTTGCGCTGTACTTCGGGTTTAGTTTTTACTGTTTGCTTTCTAACGTAATGCGAACTTTTTTGGGTGGTCGCTTCGTGGTGACATTTGTATTCGTCTATTTTATATGGGATTTGTTAACGCTGCGACCGGTTTCGTAACCACTAACGGATGATGCGGAGGGATATGGCCGTGCAGTATTGTCTGTCATAGGCTTGTTACATGACTGATTGTTTTAACAGCCTGGGACCAATTTCACAAAGAACTTATATTCGCATCGTTTGTTCCGCATGCTGTGTTATCCATCTACAAATGTTGTAAGATTTAGTTAACAAAACTGGTGTTGTATCAACTACAAAATGTCATCTGAAGGATTGGGTATGTTTAGTTTGGTATCAACTGCAAGATATCTGAAGGATTGGGTATTTCGAGCTTGGCGTTTGTTTCCTCGCACGAGGGCACTGCGTAAGCGGCGTTCACTGGACGTTCTGGATTTGTATGCTCTTCATAAGAATACCGGATTGTCTTGGGTGGTTTTCTTAACAACGCGTCCCCTGCGTGTAGATGCCAGCTCGGCGTCGGAGAGAAGTCCATCGAAGCCCCAGGCGTCACCGCCGTCCCCACCGTCGCCAGCTTCGTCACCGTCGTCGCCGTCGTCGGGCCCACTGGCGCCCAAGCTGTCCAACGTGCGCTGGAACGCGGCGCCGACCATGCTGGAGCAGCAGCGCGAGAATCTCACGGAGCGCCTGCGTCGTGAGTTCGGTCTGAAGGTGGACGAGCAGCCGCGACCGGTGCTGCCGTTGCCAGCCTCTCCGCCTCCTCCGCCGCCGCCGCCACCGCCGCTGCCGCTGCCGCTGCTGTCGTCCCTGCCGCCCACCTTTACTAGGTGCAAGTCGCCGCCGAGGAGGAGGCCTCGGGAGATTTCGCCGACCGACTCGTGCTACGCCGCCAGCCGGGAGGGGTCGCCACCTCCACCTCCGCCGCCACCGCCACCGCCGCTTCCTCCGCCTCCGCCACTGCCAGCGCCATCTCATCCGATACCGGGGCACCGCAGGCCGGCTGGTCCCAGTCCGGCTCCGGTGCCGCCGCCGGTCGCGTCGGCGCTGTCCCAGCGGACGACGCCGCGGTGCTCCTCCCGGGACTCGCCGCCGCCGCCGCCTCCTCCCCCGCCGGCGCCGGTGCCGCCGCCCGCAAGGCTGCAGGTGTCCGGGGTGGCTGCGCACAAACCGCGCTCGCCGTTCGCGGCCGGATCGCGACACGCGCTGCCCAACGGCCTGCCGACGTGTCCGCCGCCGCCGCCGCGGCTGGGCGCGCCCCCCGCCTTCCGTCCGGGCCTGTTTCCGCCCGTGCGTTTGCACGCGGCAGCTCGACTCAACGGCCGCGTGCCGGTGGGGGCGCTGCGCTTCACGCCGCCGCCGCCGCTGCCACCGCCGCCGCCGCCGCCGGCCAGACCGTCGGCGCCGGTGCGGCCGCCGCCGTCGCCGTTCGCTTGCGTGCGGCCGCCGCCGCCGGCGCACTGACCGTCCGTGTCGAGCCACCGCAGCCCGCGCGTGTGTCCTGCTGCTGTAACTGGTCCCCCGGCCCGGCCGCCCGCTGCCGCTCCTTGCGACCCCCAGACGGCGCCACTGACTGGCCCGCGCGCTCAGTAGTCTCCCAAGAGAAAAAAGCTTATCAGTATTTTTATATGGTGTGTACAAAACGAAGTGGGTGTGGGAGATTATCTTACAGCAGCAGTCTGTGATGTGAGTGTGATTGTAAATATTTTGAATTATGAATTTGTAAATATGCATACCATGGGTGTGTGAGATCAACCTTAATTCCATATTCTGTTCTCTTGCAGACCGCATTTCTGTTCCTTTGTTCTGTTATTCATTGTGTTCTGCCCCTCGGAGAGTAGTGCTAAGTACTGTCGTTTTGCTATGACCTATTGGCCGATGTCGCAGCGCGGCGTGCCGCGGACGGGCGGCTTTTCCGTGCTCTCCGGGTCGCTGTCCATCCCGAGCGCGCGTGCGTGTGTGGAAGGCGTAGGCAGGCGTGGCGGTGCGCCCGCCTGTTAAGAGTGTTATTTTCTCTGACACTGAAGTACAAAGTGGTTTTAACGTTTGGAGTGGACCTGTCCGGGCCCATGCCGCGTGTCGCGCCTTCTCTTGAGTTACAACTGGTGCTTCGAGCGGCCGGACGCGTCGATAGTGCATTTGATATAAATACATGTGAAAACGTGCCCCGGAGGCTTTTGCTTGTGGAATCCAAGATTTTTGCGTTGGTGTTTCGAGATCAGATTACGAACACTGACTACCACTGGGAACACTGGCTACCCTTCGACGTGAGACTGGGAACACTAACTACCCTTCGACATGGGACTGGGAACACTGACTACCCTTCGGCATCAGACTGGGAACACTGACTACCCTTCGACATCAGACTGGGGACACTGACTACCTATTCGACATCAGACTGGGAACACTGACTACAGTTCGACATCAGACTGGGAACACTGATACCCTTCGACACCAGACTGGGAACACTAACTCCCCTGTTTGGAATGGTTACCCGCCACAAGCTGGTCAGCTGTGCGCGTGACCGGTGTTACCGGCGAGCGGTGTAGCTCGGGTTCCCTTGTAGAAATACAAATAGAGGTGATAGCACACACCCCGCAAACGGAGCTGACCTCTCCTGACGTCAGAGGGCTGGGCTAGCGTGACCAGTGGTATCGAAACAGTTAAAAATAAAACTGGAATAAGCTGGAAAGTCTGTTGGCTGGGCGTGGCCATCGCTGGCTACAGGATTTGGTAGGGCGCGGACCCGGTTACTTTAGGGCGGATTGGTCTGTTTTCCTACTGTGGCTGTAAAAGAAGCATCGAATCAGGAACGAGCCCGATTGGCATTCAGGGCGGCATTTTGTCAGTTGCAAAAACGACGGAAGGGGCGTGCAGCCACAACCACGCCACGATTGGGGTCTACGGCGCGTGGATGTAGCTCCATGGAACTGATACCGATGGTGCGTGCGTGCGCGCGTGCGTGCGTGCGCGTGTGTGTGTGTGTGTGGCGCGTACACAGCGCACCTTATTTGTGGCTGCGGTCGAGTGGTTGTCCCACGGCGCACGCCACGGGAAGGAGTCCGGGAACAGCAGTGGCGGCCCAACTGCACAAGCCAGCGATACGAGAGCTTACGTGCGTATCGGCAAGGTTATCGGACGATGGAATCGCGGGGTTCGGCAGATTGACGATCACACGTGAAACCTGCCCAGGTGCATTATCTGCAGTGGCAAACGCCTGGCCAAGGTCGCGTCAAAAGCGTGGGAGCATGGCACGTAGTGCTCCAATGCCCTCACCGGGGATTGTGACATGCCAGGCTGTTCGGGTGGGCTTGTGCGCAGTTTGACGACTCGTCGAGTTTAAAACCCACTAGGCAACAAAGTCGGTGCTTGCGAGTACAGGATGCACGAAAACCGCGCCGCATCTGTGGAAACTGATCACTTGCCAGTTAAGCTCGTGCTGCGTTAACCTGAGGACGGTTTCAAAGCTGGGAGAGTATACCAAAAACGATCTGCCAAGTCACCCTCCGCCGCCTATTTTCGTTCGAATTACGGCCACTTCATTGTCAAGTTTGGTAAAAGGATTATGCATTATAGAAATATTTGCTATTGCCGTCAACACGTGGCCTGGTATGATGTCATGCATAGGAAATATCAGTAGATGTATTTCTCTTCATCAGTAACATTTTCCTATGAATGGTATGATTTTAATTTTATGTACACATTACGATTACATTTAACCGTTTATTTACGACGAAGGAAGAAGTAATACGGTATCAGCATAGGTAACATCCTCGTTCCCACACTCGTTCCCACATGCCGTCCTCTTTTGCAACTACGACATCTAACGAAGATGATAAATGGGGCGGAAATTTCGCAGGACCTTTATGTACCTATCCTCAAGCTGATCTTGAGCTGGGAGTCATGGAATGCTTGGCTGATTGTATACCATGTAGCAAAAACCTTTCGACGAACATGTAACAAGAACTCCTAACAATAGGAGTGCTACGACATTACTTCTTCTGTCAATATTCATACAACATTAGTGTGATACTACAAAAGCTTGAATGCACAAAAAACATTCAAAGCCATTACTTATAAACGATATCACTTTTACCGCAAACAACTTATATGCAACATTGGTCGTATACCAGAAAATTTATGCTTTAAGAACTTGTACTCGTCATATGCTTTAAGAACTGTACTTGTCACTCACGTCATACTCGAGTTTACTTCTACTGTAAAGGCTTATACGCAAAAATAGTGCTACATGACAGAAGCTATGCTTCAAAAGCTTGTGCCCATGTTTGCCTCTACCGCAAAGACTTAAAAAGCCATTGTTTATACACAGCATTACTTCCACTACAAAGGCTTATGAGCGACATCAGTGCTACACGGCCAAGATCATAGTTGCGCAATGTATAAGCGTCATGTGGTTTACTGCGAAAAACTTATGTAGGCTTTGCGTAAACACAACACTACCTCTACTGCTGGGGTATTTCGCGACAAATGATTGGTGAAATGACAAAGTAACGCATTCATATCGCAGATTTGGATGAAAATTGCATCCAATGGGTTATCTGATTAGGTGAATCCAGCTCTAAAACTTTTAGTTCGATGGGAGCAACGACCACCGAGTTATAGCTTCCGGTATTTTAAGGCTGGTTACTACATGGACATCTTTGTTGACCGATAGCTCACGCCTAAGCAATCGGAATAACACATAATTCCTATACCGTTCAGCACCCAATGATGTAAGGAATCGTTTATATTTTCCGATTTTTCACTCTTTTGAAATTTTGACCTTGTGACCTCGTGACCGGGTGATCTAGGTGACCCTTTGCGTAACCTTATCATGACCCGAGGCCATTAAAAATACGTCAGTTTTGGCTGCTCAAAATGCTCATTCGTAAGTTAGTTTCTGATGATCAGCACCTGCAGAATGAGTTATTTCTGAAACTATATCTTTCTTAAGCATGACTGTAAAATGTTTTCGCGGCATTCCGCCATAACTGTCTGGTAAAATGTGCTCAATAATATCTAGTGTTGATAAAAATGGGTGCATGAAGTGTTCTGATGCGCAAAGTCCATCCGTGCAACTGCAAGCGCGATTATACAAACCCTCACGGGGCTATAGGCTCGGGTATTTTTTAGACGAAGCTGAGAAATGGTGAACCATTAATTTTGCACTGACATGTTTCTAATAAGGATATAATGAAAATAGAAGGAAACGCCTCCACTCAACCGCTCAGCCTTCCCGAATCTGATGTGAGAAGTAATTACATCGGTGTTCATTTCTCCTGGCAAGTGCATGCATGAAAAACGCGAGTAATAAATCACAACATTATGCATCTCTAGGCGACACATTCGAGTCAAACGACCAAACATCTAACTGGGATTAATGCTTCCTACAAGGTCCTGTTAGCGACCATTACACACGACGACAGCATTCTATTATAGATTCACGCTTTGGTCACTCGGACTCTTCGCCCTGCACTTCTGGATAGCTCATGGACCGTCGTGGTAGAACGGTCAACCGAAAAAAAAAACATGTTGAGTGCCTGTGTGACTCACTGTCACAGATCCGGGGCGATTCACAATGATAGGAGCCCTGAGTTAACGAGAGGCCCCGTGCCAGCCAGGGACCCACAGGGCCTAGCAGGTCCTGTGCTGGCAATGGCCTCCGAGTTACCCAGGGATTGGAGTTGAACTTGTGGTGGGCCGTGACACCGTAGCCTGTACAAGTCAACTTGTGTCAAGCTCAGAAGCCAAACGATTTTGGGACTAAAAGGCGTGGTTTTGAATTTCACGGGATGCTGATGAGACTGGGTATTTTAATCCAAACACCATGCAAATGCGGAGCCGGCCCCGTAAACTTGACCGTATCTTACCAATCCGATATTCCTTGCTTCCTCTCCCCTGCCCTTATCTTACCATCTATGCATCATCCTCCACATCCATATCACCGAGATAAGTGCATTTGCAACTGCAAAATGTGTGAACGTATTGCCTTGTCAATACAATACACCACAATGTTGCTACTGCACATTTCGCTGCGACTTTACACCTTCCCTTCCTTCCCAGCCACCTCCGCTTGCTCGAGACGCTCAGGAAATCGTTTAAACCAGTGTTGCTTAACACGCGCCCGGGTGGCCGGCTAGATACGCTTCGCTCGGGGGTCAATTTGACCCCTCCCCCTGAGATCTCGTGAAGTAAGAAAGCTAGAGACACCAAATTGACAGGGTGTGTTGACCTGTACGTGAACTCACTTCGGTCAAAATTTCAGGTTCCTAGGTCATGACCTTTGGGCCGAAAAAGGTCAAACAAGATCAAGTTCCAGGCTGGTCTCCAAGGTGCCCCAGAACCTAGATAACCGTTTCTAAGCAAAAGGTGGCATGCTCATTTAAGGCCAGTGACCTTTTTTGACCTTATGGAGGTCAAGGTGACCAAAATAATGCAAGATTGCTATGAGTTTTGCGTCTGACAAAGCGACAGAAATTATGCTAGACAGTACGTTCCTAAAACAAAATGTTGACCTGGCTCATTTTAGGTCAATGACCTTTTCCGACCTCTAAGAAGTCCGTGGATGATGTA